TCGAACCCGCCACCTCAGGTGTATGTGGCTGGCACCTTAGCCACTTGAGCCACAGGCGCCGAGTCCCACCTCTGTTTTTCATAGCCTTTCAGGTGGTCTGTAGAACAGTGCTTTGGTGACCTTTTTCCATAGGTTGTTTAGAAGGAACATAGCATAGCAGTCATTCTCTATAAAAGGTTTCTAATGGAGTGGCAGTTACATCATGAGCAGGATATTTTGCTCATCTGTCTGATGCTCCTTCTCCTCCTGTTCATATTTTTCTGTCTTGTATCTTTAATGTCTACCAACCTTTATTAGTTACCAAATACGAGCCATTTGGAAAAATCTGTTATATCCCAGGTATTATAATCAGCATAGGGGTACAATAAGAGAAAGATGGGTAAAGTCCCAGCTTATGTGGAGTGCTGGAATGCAGCAGCAAATAAACTAGAATCCCTACCTTTACAAGGCTTAAACCCCGAGTTGAGAGAGTCAAGAAGTAAATAATTAGTTGTAAGAGGTGGGCTCAGGAGGTTATGGGGGGCCAGATGCAAATGTTGTATGCACCTAGAGACTGAGTTTTACTCACAGTGGAATGAGGAAGTATTCTGTTGGTCAAGAGATGAATGACATAATTGTGTTACCTTTAAAAGGAACACTCTGGCAGTTGGGGGTGGGGGTGAAATCAGGAAGTTGGTGAGAAGGCTAGTGCAGTCATTCAAGGAGTGATCTAGATAGGCTTGAACCTGGGTGGTAGCAGTGGAAGTGGTAAGAAGTGGTGGAACTCAAGATACATGTTCAGATGAGACCATGCAGGACTTAGGATGAATTAGATAATGGAATCTGGAGGAAGGAAACAGTCAAGGATGACTGTGGCCTGATTAACTGGAAGAGAAGAGTTACTGTCAACTGAAATGCAAAAAAGACTGCAAGAGAAGTGGGCTTGGAGGAGAAAGTTAGGAGTTCACTTTTGGCTATATTAGGTATGAGGTGGCTGTTAAGACATTTAAGTGGAGCTACCAAATAGGCAACTGGAAATGCAATTCCAGGCTGGAGTATGCATCTAGAACTGTGAGACTGGATGAAATCATAGAGAGTTTCAAGATGGAGAAGGGAAGGAGGCGTAAAGACTTGTCCCAGAGGCTCTGTACATGGAGAGGGCCAGGAGAAGTGCAGGAGAGAGGTGTGTTCCGAATGTCAGGTGAAGAAAGAATTCCAAGCAGATTGATTGTACAGAATACTATGGCTTACAAGTTGAGTAGGATGAAGACCGGGAGAATTAGGATTCAGCTACATTGAATTTGTTGGTGTCCTTGAAAGAAGCTGCATTGGGTAAATGATGGTGATGGCACATCCTTGTGTAGAATGGGTTCAAGAGAGGAAGAGGAGACAGTGTATTTATATAACTCTCTTGAGGAGTTTCTCTCTAAAAGGAAGCAGAGGTGGCAGAGATAGGAGGATCTCTTGAGGCCAGGAGTTCGAGACCAGCCTAGGAAATAGGGAGATACCATCTCTACAAAATATTAGTTGGAAGTGGTGGTATGCTCCTGTAGTCCTAGCTGCTTGTAAGGCTAAGGCAGGAAGATCACTTAAGCCCAGGAGTTTAAGGTTACAGTGAGCTATGATCACACTACTGCTCTCTATCCTAGGTGATAGAAAGAGACTCATTCTCAAAAACAAACAAACAAATGGAAACAAAACAAAGAGAAGCAGAGAGAGGGAATAATAGCTATTTGGGAACCTCCACCAGGCCAAAGAAAGGGTTTTGTTTTTTGTTTTGGGGGGTTTTTTTGAGACAGAGACTCACTCTGTTGCCCTAGATAGAGTGCCTTGGTGTCATCATAGTTCACAGCAACCTCAATCTCTTGTGCTCAGGTGATTTCTTGCCTCAGCCTCCCCAATAACTGAGACTACAAGTGTCTGCCACAACACCAGGCTAGTTTATTTTTACTTTTAGTAGAGATGGTATCTCACTCTTCTCAGGCTGGTCTTGAACTTGTGAGCTCAAGCAGTCCACCTGCCTAAGCCTCCCAGAGTGTAGGATTACATGCATGAGCCACTGTACCTGGCCAAGATAGGCTTTTTGATGTGCCCTTTAAAAAAAAATACGATGGTAAACTCTTTCAACATGTTCTTTTTTTTTTTATGAATAATTGGTTTATTTTTGTTTTGTTTTGTTTTGAGACAGAGCCTCAAGCTGTCCCCCTGGGTAGAGTGCCGTAGCATTACAGCTCACAGCAACCTCCAACTCCTGGGCTCAAGCGAGTCTCTTGCCTCCGCCTCCCAAGTAGCCAGGACCACAGGCGCCCGCCACAACGCCCGGCTGTTTTTTGGTTGCAGCCATCATTGTTGTTTGGCGGGTCCGGGCTGGGGATTCGAACCTGCCACCTCAGGTGTACGTGGCTGGCGCCTTAGCCAGTTGAGCTATAGGCACCGAGCCAACATGTTCTTTTTTAAAATTTATTTTTTTAATTTATTTTTATTGTTTGGGATTCATTGAGGGTACAAAGAATTAGGTTGCACTGATTGCATTTGTTAAATTCCTTCTTATAATTGTGTTCTGCCCCCAAGAGGTGTGCCATATACTGTGACCTCCCCAATCCCCCTATCTCCACCTCTCTCCTCACTTCTCATTCCACTACCCCTTACCTTGTATTACATCATCTACTGCTTTCATATTAAAATTGAGTATATTGAATTCTTTTCCATTCTTGTGATGATTTATTCAGAATGTGTTCCACCTCAATCCAGGTTAATACAAAAGATGTAAAATCTCTTTCTTTTTAATGACTGAATAATATTCCATGGGCTACATATACCATAGTTTGTCAATCCATTCCTGGGTTGGTGGGTATTTAAGTTGTTTCCACGATTTGGTGATTGTAAATTGAGCTACCAATAAACAGTCTAGTGCAAATGTCCTTATGATAAAATGATATTTTTCTTCTGGGTAGATGCCTAGTAATGGTATTGCAGGATCAAAATGTTCTTGTATAGATGAGAGGCACTGACATTGTGGGAGTGGGGATACACAGCACTAATTTCCGGAGCAAAATCCTTAGTGAGCAAGGGGTGGGTTGGTAGCGCAGTTGGAGGAGTTGGGTAGTGAAAGCAAATACAGAAGCAAGTGGATTTGGTGGAAGTTCCCTTCTTATTGTTTTTCACTGAATAGAAGGCCTGTTCCTTACTTGAGAAGTAGGAGTAGAAAGATATGTTAGAGGCTGGTGTGGTGGCTCACGCCTGTAATCCTAGAACTCTGGGAGGCTGAGGCAGGTGGATTGCCTGAACTCACTGGTTTGAGACCAGCCTGAGCAAGATTGAGGCCCTGTCTCTAAAAGTAGCTAGTTGTGGCAGGTGCCTGTAGTCCCAGGTACATGAGAGGCTGAGGCAAGAGAATCGCTTCAGCCCAAGAGTTTAAGGTTGCTGTGAGCTACCAAGGGCAACAAAATGAGACTCTGTCTCAAAAAACAAAAAAGAAAGAAAGAAAGCTGTTAGAAGTTTGAACCAGAGAAGAAATGGGGGTGATGGGTAGCTCTGAAAACCTGTGAGAATAGTCATCATGGTTGTGTTTTTCTCTTTTTTTGTGTACAAAACACACTGGTAGTTGGATTAAACCAGCACTGGATTCTGGCTAGGCTGATGTGCCTCAGAGAAAAGGGCAAGAGGTGATAGGGAGGGAGCAGGGTTCTAGGTTGGATTGTGAGGACCATTGGGGGGGGGGCAGGAAAATAGTGCTATGAGTGAATTTAGGGGGCAGGTTGGACAATTGTTGGGTTCCACTGTTGGAGTGAATTCACGGGAAATAAGGAATTGGAAGAAAAAGAAAAATCAGAATCAATAATAAGGTAATTATTAGTTGTGTGTAGACCCATGGAATTGGTTGCTGAGATCATGGAAAAGATAGTTGGAAAGAAATAAAAGAACTAAGAGGTCATCAGGGTCTCAAATGAATCACCTCTGCAGGTGTGGAGCACCAGGGTGCTTTGGGGATGGGGGTCAAGCCAAGCCAGGTGGTTATAGGAGCCTGCAGTTACTCTTACCCTCTTCAAAAACTGATATCCTATGACTGTTGTGCCTGTAATGCATGTAGCTGGTTATTTGAAACAAAGACAATGATTAAGTTATCAGGATTTCTTGTTCTTGTCATTTTTCTTCCCTTGTATTCCTAATAAATACATTGACTTGTGCTCAAGATCTCACTCTACTTCCAGGGCATTAAAACTAATCTATTTTATGAAAATAGCAAAACTATTTTTAAAGTGAAGCCTTTAGTTTTTATTATTCTCTAATTAAATAAAAACCTTTATCTTCATTTTTATCTTAAATATGATATTTTGGAATGCCTTGCCACTGTCCTGTGTTATATTTAATATTTCCTTGTAGCCAGTTCATTCTTATTTCATCTCCTCTTAATTTCAGTGGAATTTTTTTTTTGTATATTTTGACTGATGCTTTGGTATAAGATAAGGTCTAGTATCAGTGGAATACCATGAGTTTTTAAGTTTCAGTGCAATGATTGATTGTACATGGGCTGTTTGTCAGTTTACTTTCTCATATGTAACAGACTAAATAACAAAACTTTTAGTTGAGTGTTTTTGAGAAACATTTGAGATGTGCTTGAACTGAATTTATAAATTGCTTTTCTGTCAAGTCATATCAGTTTCCATGAAGGATAATATCTTTTTAAATAAATCAGTAAGGCAAATTTAAGTAAATAAGTATATGTTTAAACATAAATGGAAAATAAATATATAAAAATATATGAATGTTACAAATATGTGATGTATGGTTTAAAATGGCCCTTTTACTAAAGAAAAATATTTTGAGTTTTGCAAGCTTTTTGTGAGTTGGTATGTAAAATAACTTATTGCTTTGTTTTCCTGTATTTTATTACCTGATAAATGAGACATACTTCTTTACCGTTTTGGTGGAAACAAAAACCGTTCTTTAATTTTTTAGGTCCTCCTTGGCGAGATTTATACAGGCACCAGTGTAGCAAGAGTAATAGTGAAGGAGTTAAAAGCAAGTGCAAGCCCAAAGGAACAAGATACTTTTTTGAAAAATGGAGAACCTTACTAGTAAGTAAACTATATCATGTGTTCTATAACGTAGTGTGTGGTCTGTGAAAATCAGGTATAACTCTGCAACTTACATGATTAAGTAAGACCAGAGTCTCATGAGGCCCAAAATTTTCAGGTATCAATTGAAAATCACTTATCACTTAAGAACCAGGAGAACTCACCTTAAATAAGAAAAGACAATAAATATTAACACTGAGATGACAGAGATGTTAGAATTATCTGCCAAGACTTTAAAGCAGCCATCGTAAAAATGCTTCATTGAACAATTTCAGCACATTTGAAACAAGTGAAAAAATAGAGAGTGTCAGCAGAGAAATAGAAGACATGAAGAATACCTAAGTGGAAATTTTAGAACTGAAAAATACAATAACTGAAACGAAAAATTCAGTAGACGAACTTAGTAGCAGAATGGAGAGGACAGAGGAAAGAATCAGTTAAGGTAAAGATGAAACAATACATATTGCTCAATTTGAACAATAGGGAGAAAATAGACTTGAAAAAAATGAATAGAGCCTCAGGGACATGGGGGACTATAACAGAAGATCTGACATTCATATGATAGATACCTCAGAATGCAAGGAGATAGAGGAGGAGGCTGAAAAAGTATTCAAAGAAATAATGGCTAGACATTTGGAAAAGAAAAGGCCTAAAGATTCAAGGAGTCAAGCAAATCCCAAACAGGATAGACCCCAAGAAATCCGTGCCAATACGTTATAGTCAAACTTCTGAAAACTAAAGACAAAATCTCTTAAAAACAGGGAGAGAGAAACAACACCTTACTTATGGGAGGAAAACAAATTGACTGATGGTGGATGTCTTGTCAGAAATCAGGAGGCAGAAACAAATGGCACATTCTTCAAGTGTTGAAAGAAAAGAACTTTGAAATTGGGTATCTAGGGAAAATATCCTTAGGAATGAATGAGGATATCAAGGCATTTTCAGATACAGGAAAACTAGGAAAATTTATTACCAGAAAACTTACCATAAAAGAACGATAAAGTTTTCTAAACAGAAATGATAAAAGAAGGAATCTCTAAGATTAGAGATTAGGAAGCAAGAAGGAACAGCAGAAGGAACAAAAATATGGCTAAACTTCCTTGAGAGGAAAAACTGATATATTGTATCATCAAAATTAAAAAATTCGGCTCGGCGCCTGTGGCTCAAGTGGCTAAGGCACCAGCCACGTACACCCACGGTGCCGGGTTCAAACCCAGCCCGGGCCCGCCAAAAAAACAACAATGATGGCTGCAACCAAAAAATAGCTGGGCGCTGTGGCAGGCGCCTGTGGTCCCAGCTACTTGGGAGGCTGAGACAGGAAACTCGCTTGAGCCCAGGAGTGGGAGGTTGCTGTGAGCTGAGATCCCACGACACTCTACCCAGGGTGACAGCTTGAGGCTCTGTCTCAAAAAAAAAAAAAAAGAAATTTCTTTTAAAGAAGTGAGTTTTTTAAATGAGAAA